GATACGCCGTCTTCCAGGCGAATAGTTGCTCTCTCAATGTACAGTAGGTCATACACAGGCCGATGGTGGCGGTATTATGCTTTGGGGAACGTTCTCTTGGGTATCTCTGGGACCCGTGGTTGTGGTAGAGCTGACCATGAATGCTACAGGGTATCTGAACATCATTGCGAACCAGTTGCACCCTTACCTCTGCTTGGGTAACAGAGGTAAGGGTGCAACTGGTCCGCAATGATGTTCAGATACCTTGGCCTCTGCTTTTCCAGCTGGAAATGGAATGTTCCAACAGGACAACGCCCCTTGTCACAAGGCTAAAATTGTGTTAGAGTGGTTCCAGGAACATGGTGCTGAATTTCAGTTAATGTCCTGGCCGCCTTACTCACCGGATCTCAATCCGATGGAACACATTTGGGATGTCCTTGGACGGCAACTCAGAGTTCAAAGACCGCCAATTCGCAATATCTCGGATTTGCGTGACCGTTGCTTAAACATCTGGTACAATCTGTCTCCGGCCATCTACCAAGGGCTTGTGGCATCCATGCCAAGGCGGGTTGAAACTATGCTGCGCGCCAAAGGTGAGCCAACTCGTTATTGACAGGTGGTCATAATGTTTTGGCTCTTGAGTGTATGTCATTTAGGGGGGGGGATTTTCTAATTCAATAATATTTATTTTAAATTAATATTTTTACATGATTTGCTTTTATCAGCATGTTTATAGCTTCACATTTAAAAAACAATTTGTACAATTAAATTAGAATTTCTGATGTAAATGTAATATAATATATATATATATATATTGTCCGTTCTAGTTGTTTTTTTTAAATACATATAATTTCATTGGAGTTCTTATATATATATATATATTTCATTTAGGGCATAACGATAAAATTTTTATCTAGTTTTTTAATTCATATTTTTTAATTCATTTAATCATATTCAACATCAAATTAGCAGTAAAGTGAAATAAACATTATAAAACTATGCTAGTATAAAAATCATCTGCTTTCATTGATATTATATGTTGATATATTTAGGATTGACAGATTATTTATAGATTATATTATTATTATTGATTTATTATATTAAGTTATTAAGTTAGGAAACGCACACATAAAAATGAATATCTTGCTTTATGCAGAGAAAGATTGTAATAAAACATGACAAAAACAAATATTTAAGCAAAATAATCTTTATTAATATATATATATATATATGAGCAAAGTTTCACTTACATACATTTTACATTAATGTTAAAAATATACAATTATATGCAAAAATACAGTTTTAATAATTAACACTTCACATGGCATTTATTATAGAGCACCTTATTTTAAAATGACCACAATTACAAAAGATTTGAAAACTATAAAAAAGATTAGGTTTAAAACTATTGAAATACGTTTCATGGGAAGGATAATATGAAACTATTTTATTTAAAAAATTACACAGCAACATTAAAAGTATCTTGATTTTTTTTAACTGTTATAATAATCTAAAAATATATATAAATAAATCATACAGATTATACCAAGTTTGATAACAAATATCCCTTTCAAATATTAGAAGAGCAAAAATCTGTTTACTTTAAACAAATACAGAAGTAGTATACAGATATACAGAAGTATACAATTTGAATGCCAACACATTTCTTCATATGAATCAAAGCATAAAGAAACAAATGAAATGCAATTTTTATTTTAAAAAAAACCTTTATCCAGCAAATATACATTATTAATTATTTAAAAATGGCAACAGTCTCTTAAATCACGTGCAACTTGCTCTAAACAAAACAGTTTAATTGCCAGTTAACACCACACAACATTCTTAAAGATTTTTCTCATCTTGGTTTTCTATGAAAAATTACGTTTCTTTATTTTTATTTATTTATTATTATTATTATTTTATTTTTATGTAGTGTCATGTCCTATTTTCAGTAATCATTATTTTTCACTAATGTGTTTCACCCCAATAGACCAATAGAATTTGTAAAATGTACTGTTTTATTCATGAGGAAAAGTAATATCCCCTTAAAAAGAAACTATTAAAACTTAGTGTAAAATAAATTTGTAAAAGTAATGGCAAAATAAATTTTTAACTTAATTATTATTTTTTTTAATACAGGCATAAATTAGTATATCAAGTTTATTATTAATTTATATTTTATCAATTTAATTATTTAAAAATTTCTTACTTTAAAATTTTTAATAAAAAAAATTTTTTTTAATGACAAATAATTCGCCTTATCGTGAATTGAATTGATTTTAATTATTTTTGAATTTTGATTTTAGTTATTTTTTTATACAGGCATAAATAAGTATACTGAGTTAATTATTAATTTACGTTAAATACTATATATTTTATCTATCTTATTGTTTAAAAATATTCTTTATTTAAAAATTAAAAAAAAAAATTTTTTTTTTTAATGTCATAGACAATTTGCCTTTTCTTGAATTCAATTGATTTTAACTAATTTTTTTTATACAGGCGTAAATAAGTATATTGAGTTTATTATTAATTTACGTTAAATACTATATACGTTATCTATTTAATTGTTTAAAATTTTTTAATAAAAATACATTTTTTAAATTACATAGATAATTCGCCTTATCTTGAATTGAATTTTGATTAATATTTTTTTTATACGGGCATAAATAAGTAAATTCAGTTTATTATTAGTTTATATCAAATAATATACATTTTATCAATTTAATTATTTAAAAATTCTTTATTTTAAAATTTTTAATTAAAAATTAATTTTTTAAATTACATAGATAATTCGCCTTATCCTGATAAATTGAATTTTCATTTGGACATTTTCCTAATATGCTTAATATTTAAGTACGTACTTATTTTGATTATTTGCTGCTGATATTATTAATAATATTATGCAATTGAAAAGAATATAAATATTAAGAATTATCTTCTTTTTAAATTCAAACATAATAAAGGACTTCGATTAACATAAAATATTTCGTGCACCATTATAACAATAAAACTAAAAATCAGTACAACAATATATCAACATAACAAGATGATTAAACAATTTCCCTTCTGAATTTAACTCATACATTTTGAAGAATTATTACTGCATTTAAAACTTCATATAAATATTTTGTTGCATTACTCTTTCTTTGAGGTCAATTCCTCGTTTGAGTCAACCCCATACAGCTACGACTTTAAATGTTTTAAAAAGGAATACATTTTTTTTCCCCATAAAATATTTTTTTCTCCTAAAAATTTAAGTTCTATTAGTAATATAGAATCAAACATTTAAAACAAAAATCATCCTCACAAATATCCCCTTTTAACAAAACTAAAAATGAACTGTATGAGTTTAAATTTGTAATGATTTTTTTAAGCATATTATAATGATATATAAAAGCGAAATATACCTTCATTATACATCTTTTAACAAATAATACAACAATGCATTGATAATTTCTTTTTAAATATACTTATCATTCATTGGTGAGCAATATATTATATATATATTTATATATTATCAAAATATAGCATAGGATTCAAATGTGCTTAACTATGTATAACAAGAATTATAAAAAGTATATAATTCGGAATCCATCCCATCATTTTCATTTACAAAATTATATTACATAAACACAACTTTCTACATTTTCATCTGAGATTTCGCAAACAGTTTAGAGATTCCAGATAAAAGTCCGACAGCGGATCCAACTCCTGATCGGTCGTCAGGATCGAGACGAATAAAACGACTTTAGAAGCGCGTTTTTTGTGCAAGGATTCACTTTTTCTTTTTGGAGAATATTAGAGCAGGAGCTTGATACAGAGACATTATGCCAACAGAACGGGAGTGTCTTTTTCATTTGGCTGTGCGTTCTTGTGTGTCAGAAACGTTTGCAGTCCTGTCGCAGACACAAACACACGCTTTTCTTCTGTGCCAACTTGAGCAGCCCTACCTTCGAACTCTACCTCTCTCCCATCTCGATGCCGTTGCTGACGCCGTTGTGCTGTTTCTTTGCTTTGGGGTGGATGTCTTGTTTACTGAAAACATAATGTAATTAGGGTGGATGTCTTGTTTTCTGAAAATATAATTTTCAAAATCAGTATGCATCAGTGACGTTTAGGATTTAGGATTGCTGTCATTTTTTTTCCCTAGTGATCCACTTCCATATCGGTTTGTCGCTCTACGGTCATTTTGTGCGCGTTTTAGGCTCATTAGAACGGGACCTGTAGTTGAACGCGGATTTCGAACCACTCGCAAACATCCATGCCAGGATTCGGATCCGAAAGCTAGTCACTCGGCCACCAGGCCGTTATTCTGTGTTGCAATTCAAATTAACGCGGTCGGTTGTGTAGTTATCACGTACATAACTTATTCACACCAGTAAAATAAAGTGATGTTAAAATTAACCGCTAATTTATATTAGCATTTAAGGGTTAATTTCATTAATAAAATAGAATATCTACTTTCTTCCCATCTCTACCGAAACTGCGTAAATTGGAAAAAGTTTCCACTTTTTATTGATTGGCGTATAAGAAAAGAAATTTCATTTGCTAACAAAAAACGATTTGCATTTTGATATATAAAAATTGTTTGAATTGTCAAACAATAGATTATCAGTGCTAAAAGGGACGGTAACTTAGGAATGACGTATGGAATGGTGTCTTGTTTTCTGAAAATATAATTTTTAAAATCAGTATGCAACAGTGAACCTTAGGATTGCTGTCATTTTTTTCCCCTAGTGATCCACTTCAATATCGGTTTGTCGCTCTACGGTCATTTTGTGCACACTTTAGCACCAACAGTTTGATGTGGATTACGACTACTACTACTGTGCCTAGAGCTGAGTTTCCCCTTTACAGTTTGGGAATGATGTGGGTGAGATGAAGTCTGATTGAGCTCTGTGACGCTCTACTGTCATATTAGACCGGGAACTACAGCTCAAAGCGGATTCCGAACCCCTACAAACATCCATGTCACTCGAACACGAAACCTGTGCTACCGAGCGCATATTTTTGAATGCCAACGGCACGTAGTGTTCCCAGGTGGTCATCCTCCTAAGTACTCGATGATACTTGACTTCGGTGATCGAACGCGAACCGATATATTTAGCATAGTATGGCCGTTGGCAGTTTAACGTGGTTCCGAACCACTCACAAACATCCCTGCCACTGCCAGGATTCCTATTTGAAGCCTATGGTACCAAAGACCAGAGCGCACTTCAGTATTGGGGCTGCCAACGCTTATTCCATACAGATCTTTTTCCCAATTGTTTTAGTTTTTATTTCGAAATTTATAGAACATATTTTGTTTTGAGTTTCATTGTGTAAATAGGCGCATATGTGCCTACTGGCAGAGTTCCCAGATAGAGTAACTTAAGTTAATTACTTTTTAGTTTAAAAATTATAACTAATTTATTATTAATAACAGTTAATGACTTATTTCCCTCTGGTTTTATCTCCCCTTAAAAGTCGCATTTAGTAAAAAAATTATCACTTTGGATGCTCTTCATCTTGGAGCCGGGGGTCTGAATAGCCGAGTGGCTCGCGCTCTGGTTCCTGTGGTGCCACAGGTTTCGGGTTCGAGTCCCGGCGGTGCCATGGATATTTGTAGTGGTTCGGAATACACTTTAAACCGTAGGTCCCGGTCCTAATAGGATCGTAGAGCGTTGCGGGGACATTGTTACTCGACGTCCGTGAATTATTTTCGAGTTACACGCGCCCCCTGGGTCATGCAAAGTGAGTAACGTCTGTGCAGCGCTTGCCTTAAGGCATCCAAGACCAAGCTGTCTAAGTGTTTGCCAGCTGCATTCGAATGAAAAAAAAATCATCTTGGAGCGGAGTTCCTCAATGGCGTCTGGACAAGTCTACGAGAAAGTAAGAAGAATTGAAGGAAATAAACAAAGGAGGGATGGGTTTGTCTTGTCGCTCTACGGTCATTTTGTGCCCACTTTGGGCTGAATAGACCAGAACCTACAGTTTAACATGGATTCCGACACCCTCACAAGCATCCACGCCAACACCAGAATTCGAACCTGAAGCCAATTGATCATCAGGCCGCTGTTCTATGTTACAATTCAAATCAACGCTGTCGATTGTACAGTTATGTACATAACTTATCTACACATTGTAAAATAAAGTGGTGTTAAAATTGCTCTTTAATTTATATTAGAATTGGATTTTCCTTCTTCATCCAACGCCCGTCTATTGGCCGTAGCCAATTGGCCATCAGGCCGCCAAGGGGGGAATTGAGTGATGAATCAAAATACTTTGTGTAAAGCGATGTAAAGCTGGATTTCTGCCAGATACTGAAATCGCTCATCGATATAAGACTTCTGTTTGGTGGACGTTTTGTGACGAGCGATTTTAGTATCCTGTGAAAATCCAGCTTAAGAAGGGTTTGTCACTATACGGTCATTTTGTGACACTTTGGGCTAAATAGGCCGGGACCTACAGTTTAACGCGAATTCCGAACCATTAACAGATACCCCTACTACCGCCAGGATTTGAATCTCAGCTTAAGGAGGGAGGAAGGCTACAAAAATCTATTGGCTCCCAGTCTGAAAGGCTTGGGGCCTCATGGTCGAGTGGCTAGCGCTGCGGCGCTTAGTACCACCAGGTTCGAGCCCCGGCGGTACCATGGATGTTTGTAGTGGTTTCGAATCCCCTTTAAACCGTAGGTTTTGGTCTCCTAGGACAGTAAAGCGTCACATAGGCCAATCTAACTACTCACCCCCATCCTTCCCAAACTTGTAAAGGGGACAACTCAGCTCTTGGCACAATGGCGTGGTGTTGTAGTAGTCTGAAAGGTTTTCTCATTTAAATGTATTAAGAAGGCATGGAGTGCGATATTTACCTGGCGAACCTCTCCCCTTCCTCCAGGGTGTCGGGCACCTTCTTGCCCAGGGTCTCGGGCAGCAGCAGCATCAGGATTCCGCTGAGGATGGACAGGCTCCCCGGGACGGCCAGGGGCACGGAAGGGTGCGTCACGTCGGCCTGCGGAAAAGGGAAGGGAACGTGCGTTCAGTGACGCGGTAAACAAAAACCTTCTTTACTACGCTAACTCAGAGTGCTTACTTAACTTTCTTAGCATACGCACTCGCATTTATCCTTCATAATTCAGATGCATGAATCATTTTTTACAACAACCCATTTAGTGGGAACCAATGACAGCAGCATATTATGTGGTTATATAATACTCATGCATTTAGAAAAGTTGTGGAATAAATGCTCATATCACTCCTTGGCGATCACCCAAGCTCACGCCAAATTCGGTGCTTGACGACATGCTCCTTCGATTTGAAAGTTCCCAGACATTTGAAGAGTAATTTTTTTAAATAGTCGCCAGTCAAATTTTTATATCTAAATCCGACTCCCAATCCCACGCTCGACTCCCCACTGCCCCCATCTTTTTGTTAAACGTAACACATAAATCTGTGAAATATGCATTTAAGAAGTATTGTAACTTGTGTGATTCGTGTCCGTAGCCTATCTTCAAGGTACACGCGCCCCTTGGGTAGTGCTTAGTGAGTCACAGCGCTGCAGTCCTTGCTAATGGCATAAAGATTAACTCTCTCCGTATTGCCAGCTGCATTAGAATAACAGCAGCATTGTTAAATCAGTGAGCTAGTCATATTATGACATACTACGAGTCAGAATCTTAAATGGGAAAAAGGAGGAAACTTACCACTTGTCGTATGAAGGGCGCGATGAGAGCCCCGATCCTCGCCCACGTGGAGCTGGACCCCACAGCCACGTTCCTGACCACAGTGGGGAAGATCTCGGCAGTGTAGATGTAGACCGTGTCGAAGGAGGCGGAGTTGAAGAACTTGCCCAGCATGGTGAAGAAAATGACCAGCCACACCATGTCTGCAAAGGACACGAGGGAAAAAACATTACAGAATTGTGAATAATCATTGCGAGATTCTCTCCATATGATGCAAAAGTGCTGGACAATTACTCTTTAAAGTCCTCTCGGAAGGCACTGTCATCCAACGTCTGTGGGCTATTTGTGATATGCATAAATGGAACGCGAATTCATAAGTGGTCAACAACGAAAACAATTTAATATTTTCGTCCTCTGCTTATCCAGTTAAAGAGGGAAAGCTATTGAGCAAATACATAATATTTAAAATATCACAAATTTTAAAGTGCATTTCCGCGGCCGCCTTGAACCTTTTCTCGACCCATGAGATGTGTCACACATTCAGAAAATATATTTACTTCATAATGACCAAGCAGGGAAAACCAATTATTGAAAAATGCATTATGTGTGCATCCCTCTTTTCAAAAAGGAGCTGTCGAAATAATGAGAAAAAAGGAATTTGGATTTTAAAATAATAGTCTTGCAAACATATAAGACAGAGAGAGCGCCTCTTCTACTGATGAGTTCACAGTGACGAGTCTGCGAACTCGTGACGCGCATTCATCTTGGAACGTCTAATATAACGAGTTCTGCGTTTTACTTTAAGTGACCTCAGTGACAACCGTAGATACAGTGGATTGTTGACAGCAGAGCAAAAGAGACTCTCTTAGTTCAAGTTGTTAACACTTTGGACACCTGCGAATCGTTTTCTTCTAAAATGAAATTGTCCAAACACAAAGCACGCTCAAAGATAACGGACGCAACACCTATTACGATGTGTCAATACCCAAATGGAGATCGATTTGCAAAAGCTAAGGGAAGGAGTAAAGAAACACATATTGCACTAGTCAAATAAATATTTTTTTAAGGTTTTCATTTACATTTTTATATTTCATTTTGAGTGTTGTATGTTTCTTTACAAAGTGCGTTGAGTATCCTTATTATATTATCTCTGTTTACATGTAATAATAATAGAAAACACAAAAATAATAAGGAATTATTATTTTTGTGTTTACTATTACTCTTACTTGTAATCAGAGATAATATAATAAGGATATTTTGTCATTTTCGATGTTTTCATTTTTCACTCCAAAAAATGTCTATAGTGGGTGTAAATCTAATATGGGGATCTATAATTTTATATGCGGCCCTTGGAGTTAGGGCGAAGTGGCCAGTTAGGGCATTTCCAAAGTGGGCCACAAAAATCATTGTGCTATATTATAAAAAACACCCCTGTGCTATATTATAAAAAACAGAAAAAGCTCAGAAAACTGACAACTGACGTCTTGAAAGACACTGAGTAGATACTTTTGTCGCTTTTCTGGTAGAACAACACTCTCTCTCTAAAAAGAGATACAACTTATTCAGTTGCATTTATTTTACTTCATCTCTGAATCACTGTTACTATGAGCAGTCTGTTTGCGAGTACTCCCCGCAACTCAGAGGTTCGGGAGAGATACCTTGCAACGAAAAAGATCAACTTGCACGAGATTCGGTTGGCATCCGCGCAGATTTCTCCCTCCAGCAAACAACGAACTGGCTCGAAGCCAGTGATTCGTCAAGACCACTTGAACAATCCAGACCGACTGTAGTTAGGTTAAGATTTAAAACTTACGAAATTGGCACTCGAAAAAGAAATTTTTTTTGCAAAATGTAGAACGTCGATGCATTCACAGAGCACAGTCGCCCGAATCGTATGTCAGATAACAATTTATGACTATAAGCCTATAAATTTCCATTCATAAAAGATTTTGATGCAAGATAAAAAGCGCAATCGTTGGAACTTTTGTCAGTTAGGCGGCAGCCTACACACAAGTGTTCTATCTATGCAAATGCTTTTTTTTTTTTTAATTTTGTTACCTAACACAAGGCACGAGTCTCACCATTGTTGCTCATAGCTCATTGAATAATTTTAAACATTTTAAAAGCTCATTAAATAACTTTATGGGATTGACAGAAATGTGCTTAATTTTAGAATTGAGCTCATTTCTGGCAATTCCATAACATTCTATGAGCTCAATTTTAAAATTGCATTCGATATAATAATTGTGGTTATTAGTAGATAATGCATTATAATTAGCAAACCTATATTTGTGAACTAACATTTCAGATATGAACATTAGATATGAATTAATGGAAACTATTTGTCAAATCATTTTCAATGTTTTACTACAAAACATTAAAAATATATACATATATATTATAACTATATATCTATAACGAAATTTACGAATATGAAACAAATTTATTTCTAATTATTTTT